TATCAGCTACATCAGGGAAAACGCTCAATGTACAAGCTTAGCTTAGCATAGCATAGAACCAGCTTTGACAGAGTGGGCTTACCCATGTCTAGCTGGAAAATAAAGTCAGCATCTCTATAGAATTCATCAGCAAAAAGAAACAGTAAATGCTCTAAAATTTCCTGGTAGACTGCAAGTGATTCTGTTGGAATCTGTGCCTCTGTTCTTGCTCCAGAAAATGTAATATTGATTTTTAAATGTAAAAAACAATTTTATCTGTGAAGGGATTTGGACCTCTGGGCAACAGCCCAATTCTTTTACTCCTTATTCCATGCTAGATTCTCCTCATATTGTCTCTCATTGAGGACAAGGAGCTCTTACAGCAGCAGTCCATCTACTGAACAATGGATATATGTGTGTGGCGGTGCTTGAAATGACTGACTTCATTAAGAATCTCCTCCAACATTCCTGGAAGGGCTTGCTCTGACAATCCTCCAAAGGCTCTTTCCTTCAGAGGATTCTTTTATATAATCACACTTTTCCCTACACTTACTCTTACCATGCGTGGATGTAGAACATCTTCTTTAGCAGCCATTGGTAGCTTATCCGATTTGTTGGTGTGAAATGTCAGTGACTGTCTGCAGGACAAGGTTAGCCAGCTTGCCCATGACTTTAAGGCAACAACACATTTCTCTATGTGTTATTGGCTTTTAATAATAACTTTAATAATGATCTTTTCATAATAATAATAACTTGTTGTTTAGTTCGATAATCTAAGAACCTGAATTGTAGATTTTCCTACAAACTGACAGGAAAAATCAAACTCTTGAGTTCTTTGTAATGAATTTGGAGTTTTTCTTTTTGAATTGAATGACTGAAATAAATGCACTTTTCACTAATGTTGTAAATAATATGATATTATTAATCTATAAATGTTTCTCCAAGCTTCCACTGTTGGTTAAGTCTGCAAAGGCCTTCTGTCAAATCGTTTCTTGTTTTTATTGCTATAAACCATCAGCATGTCTGCTTCCTGCTCATCTGTATACGTTCTTGCATCATCCTGCACTATCTGGGTCTATGATGTCCATCAGCATCTGCTTCCTCTACAGTTTTTGAAATAAAAAATAAAATATACATTTTTTTTTTCTTTTTCTCTTTTAAATTCAACTCTTCCGCTCTGTTCCTCATCCCGGCAATGCTCCACCACCATCAGGAGGCGGTTCGTTAAAGTTTCTCATCAGCTCCATCTGTGCATGCTTTCCACTGTGTCTCTCATCCACTTACAGCACATCAGTGAAAACTGTCACCTAAAGACCAATCAAGCTTGTTTCATCCAAACTTTGAGCATTAAACGAAATACGAAAAACGAATACTAAAAATAAATAAAATAATCCAGTAATTTAGAAGGTGCAGCAGATATCAGATCAGCTGCTAGTTCATCAGCTTGCTATGGCACAAGCTTTTTACAAGCTCTGATTTATCTTAGGCTGATATTTCACTGTAGAAAATCACTACCTTGATCTTTTTGGGGGGGTATGGTGACGCACCATTAAGAAGAGTTTGACAATACTGTTGTGGTTTTTTTGTTTTGTTTTTTCAATCAAAAGTAAAATAAACAGAAAAATATAATGGGTTGATCAATACCATATGCTTATCAGATATTTATTTTTATTGGCGATATAAAAAAAAAAAGGAACTCAAAATTAAAAATATATTAAAATTTTAAAATGTATATGCCAATGTCTTGGATACTACTATTTATGTAACTTATTTAATCTATTACGTTGTCTCGATATATATTTTATTACCTGACATACTATAATAAATATTCATGACGAAGTTCTGCTTTCAATTTGGGCCCGAGAATAAGTTGAACAATCGCCACATCAAAAACCTCCAACACCGTATTTATTGTAATGTTTGCTGCGATCAATGACTGTGATAAAATAGGCTGGGAAATAAAATTCAGTATAGAAAAATATTTAACCATATCAATGCAATCAGAAAGACGATTACCTAGAATGCCTTGATCTCAATCATAGTTCTAATCAACTGCGTTGGAGTTGGGTTTTTTTTTTTACCAAGTTGTGTTTCTAAGGAAGCCCAGCAGATTTCCTGACTTAAGAACCTAGTTCATCTGCTGCAACTAGCGGGGGATTTGAAAAGGACAGAGCGACTAAACAACAATGCACAGTTCTATTAGCACTTTCCACTGTTAAAGACTTAAGAGTTACCGGTAGCACGTTTATTTATTTAGTAATTTTACTGTGTTTATACAGTCTACCGGTATATACTTTTAGGCACTATTTTAATCTATGGGATTTTAAAACATATTCATAGTTAATGCCAGGACTAGAAATAATAAAATGAAAATTGTGTCTTTTTTGTTTCGTAACAGTTTTTTTTTTATTATAATTTTCAACACTGAAATATCCAGCTTTAACCACCACCATCTCTCTGACTTGGTTTTAAAACATGTTAAATTCATTTTACTGAAACTTGCAGCGTCCCTGGTTAGAGCATTTTTCCCCTCTTCTCTGCAGATTGAGTTCTTGAATTCAGTTATTGTCGACCTTCAGAGGAAAAATGGAGAACTCAAAGACAAACTGGAGAAAATGGCAGCCGCTGCTCTCAATGGGAATAATCCAAGTGAGATGGATAATAGGTAAGTCCTGTTCATAGCAGGTTTCCGGTAATTTTTTATTTTTTGGGGATCAGACTGATTTTAATTTGTTCTGCAGCTATGAAGAGCAGCCAGCAAAGAAGAAGCCTCCTCCTAGAAAGTTCTGCGACATTTGTGACTGCTTTGATCTCCATGAAACAGAGGATTGCCCCCTACAGGAGCAAATAGAAGACTCCCCTCCACACACCACCTACCATGGCAGTAAGGGTGAAGAGCGGCCCTACTGCGACACCTGCGAGGTCTTTGGCCACTGGACTGAATCCTGCACCGATGACCAGACCTTTTAAAGCCTTCCTAAAACCGCCGTTCGCACAATCAGTACATTTGCACATCATGTTGATTGCTCCATTCTTTTTCGGGTCTTGGCTTTTGTCTACGTCTCATGCTTGTTTCTTCCAAGCATAATTGTTGTCCACACCAGCCCTCAAGCAGCCTCATAGAAGAATGGTTTTCAGCCTGTTTCTGGACATGAAGATGTAAACAGAAGGTTACAAACTTTTTTTCAAAGATACTCTGGAGAAGAAAAAATGTCCTGGTTTTGAACAATTTAATGAATTTTCTTCAGACCAGCTAATTTATCAGTATCCCACCATTGTTTGCACAGATTGTCAGGGGTTACAGAAACGATATATAGTATCTTATACGGTGTTTATTTGAAACTGTAAAATACTTGAGTAAAACAGTTTTGAGCAAAAATTAAAGAGCTATAGTTTATTTTTTTATGCCTGGAAATAGTATGTACTGTTGAAAAGGGTTTGATAAATGTAACTTTTGTCACAGGGGACAGCCTGGAGCAGAGCAATGAAACCCATAGCTCTTTGACTTTAATGGTTGAACTTTTATGGTCCTTATGAAATTGGATGCTGGGATATTATATTAAGATTCTCATTGTAAACTCTCCATTCCCGTTTCTTATGGATAAAGCTGATTTCTTTTTGCATCAGTGACTACTTTGACATCCTTTTCAATAAGTTTTAAATATCTGTATGAAAATAAAGTTTATGGAAGAATAAATAAACCTGTCTGCATGAAATCAAGAATGGTTATCTTATTTTTCTTTTTGTTAATATCCCCAAACTGGTAGCTTTTTACTAAGTTGAAGCAATCAAGAAACGTGCATTTTAAAGACGATCTAGATATAGTTCTGTAAAATTACATGTAGTGTCTTTCTGCAAAGGTTGTCAACGTAAACATTAGAGTTTATATGCAGTTTAACTCATCTACAATACCATGTATCTACTTGGTAATATCTGTTAGTAAATATTAAAAAGGGCATTTTTGAGCACAGCTACTGTATGTTACGTCACACTCCTGACAAAAGTCCTTTTACAATTAATTTTTCTTCTAAAATGCAGTTTTAGATTAATATATATATGAACCCAACAATAGCTTTTCTGCTAAGAAAAACTTTAGTCACGGTTGGCAAGATCTCGGATATGACTGATTGAAAAAGTTAATTTGAATTAAAAAAAATAATAGCAATTGCATCATCTGTAACATCTACAAAATATTTATTTCAGTAAGCATCGTGGTAACAAGGGCAATAGCAACTGATTGCAACAAGTAACCGATCATCACTGATAATGAAGAATAAAAATGACCTTTTTTTTGGACATTTTGGATTATATTGAATCAAATATAAGTTTGTATCTATTTAGTTTTGGGTGTAAAAAAACTGGTTGTGCTTCTGAAACAGCTAAATGAGTTTGAAATGTTAATTTTAGGCGATTTTTAAAAATGTTAGACTAACCTTTCTGCCTCATTATTCTTCTCACAGCAGTGCACCAGTAACAGTCCCAGAACAAACCCAAATTCTCATACTACTGCTACCGTGCTTGAGAACTGGTAGAAACTAAAGCTGTCAGGGACATAAAAGATTTGTTAAGAGAAAAATCTAGAGTAAACCATCTGCACACATACACAGCCTAAATAGAAAAAGATATATAGGCTAATGCTAATTAGTGTCTGTAAACATTTGATTACAAATATAAAACTGTTAGTTCAAACATTTCTGTGAAAGTGATTTTTTGTTGTTATATTTAAGAAAGAAGTAGTGGGACCTTAATCGATTACAAGAAAGTGTCATCCGCGTTAAGAACTTTAAAATGGATGCATGGGGATATTTGACCCACAATCTTTTACCCTAATAAAATATGGTAGCATAAAATGGTCAGCTGCACATATTTAATTTCAGACTGATGGCCTCTAAAATGCAATAATCACATTAACACCTGGACTGGGTTCTCATATATACTGTATATATATATTTTTTTTTGTAATCAATGCATCCACTTTAGGGTAAACTCCAGCTCTGGGCTACAGATATTTTATATTTATATTATTTATATTTGTGACGATGAGCTTCAGATGCTGTTTTCCATTTCTCCAGCTCCACACTAAGCTCCACAGTTGCTGGTTCTTGCTGGACTGGTTCAGGTGGGTTTCTCTGGTTTATCTGTGTCAGATTTCACTCTCTGTGTCTACACTCTTTGCTGCTTTACACAGAGAGTGAAAAGAGGTCTGAAAATCCTGAATGTTGCAGCATAACTTTTTAGTTTTTCCTTATATTATATCTTAGACATTGAAGAGCTGATATTAACAGCAGTGATTCTTAAATATTTTAAGGTTCCATGCAGAACTCGTATAACCTTTTGTTGGTGATGCAATTCTCATTAGGGACCCGCTGGTTCCTCTCTGTTCTACTTTTTTCTCCTTCCCTGCTAACCACTTTCTTTTCTCAGATATTATCAAATCACATGTCTCTATGGCCGTAGCAGTATATCTCATGGTATCTATTATGAATTTACATAATATGCAACAGGAAAAAAAACTTGCCTTCTGTGTTTTCTCAGAGTGTACAGGTAGGGGACCAAAGTCACAGACAGCAGTGACTGTCTGATTCCCATTAAGCAGGCTTTGCAGTGGGATGTGTGCAGAGGCCAACACTCCTCTGATAGGTGGATCTTGGACCGGTTCTATTGGACATCTGTTCTTTATGTCTTTAGGTTTGCCTTTATTGAAAGCTGATTTGACCTGCAAAGGATAACAAAAATTTTTGATTTGCTTTGAGGCACAAAATCAAAAGGATGTAAAATGTACATTTTGAGCACTAAGATAAACTTTGTGTGTTCTTAGAATCATTCAGTATTTTATCAGTTTGCAATTTTGCAATGTGCAAAGTAATTTACTGTGCAAAGTGAAAAAATAAAATAAAAAGTTTTAAATATAAAACAAAATATGTTGACTCTTGTATCTGGATTATTTTTTAGAAATTAAATATCTATTTTTTTAATCAATATGATGTAAAACTAAACATTTTCAAAAGTAGCAACAGGATATAGTAATATTGTTTGTAATAGAATTATACATTGGCATTTAAACTGTATTGTGTAATTTAATACTTTTTCTCAACTAAAAGCACAAATATTAAGTTTTGACAAAAAGGCAACTATCGTATGTTGAGCAAATATTTTTATAAGTAAAGTTCTGCTACAAAACAATCAGATAATGAACAAAGTTTCTCATGTGCTAAATGATGTGTTAAAGCTTCATGTATCACAGCAGAGGTGTTTCATGTTAAACTGAAAGCTGACAAGGGACAAAAGTACCCAGAAATCAACTCAATCAATACCACATTTATGTAAATTCATAGCTACTAAATGCTACAAGTAGAAAAAGACAATAAAGAGAGAATTTTATATTTACATTAGTCTTTTTTTATGGTTTGGTTGCATCCTGTCAATCAATACCTGCCTTTAAACTGGATGACTTTAGATTTTGGAGATTCATCCACAAAAGTCTCAGTGCTTCCCTGTTATTTTGGCTTATTCCTCTATAAAGAGCTGATTTAAATTTGTTAGTCTTCTGTTTAGAAAACATATTTTTTGCCCAAGCTTTAGCTACCTTGCTGGTGTCTCCAGATGCTTCAGGATGTCCATATAACGTCCTCGCTTCATAATGTCACCTGTTCGGGGAGTAGCACCATTCCTTCTGACTGAAAAAAACACAGCATGATGCTGCCACCAACATACTGTAGGATTAGGAGCGTGTGTTGCTCTGTGGGGTTTTTTTTGTGTATTGGTTGTCTGTTCAGCTCATGTTGTTACATGACTTTAAATCGCTGTGGAGCATGGCACCCTATTTCCAGCTGCTTCAGAAGATCTTTTGCTCAAAAACCTGCTTGTCCCTTTTCTTAAAGGTTGGGCATTCTTATTTAGTTTCTATAATTCTTATAACATGGAAATGGCTTCGTCATTAATCTAGAAATCTTGACTTCCTCTTCACAGATACATGCTGTGATGATACACTCTGTGTATACATAATGACATAATAAAAGTGTCACGGTCTTGATTCTGTTATGTTTTACTTAGCTCTGTGTTTTCTAGTTTTATTGGTTTAATTCCTATTTTGTTGTATTTTCTGGATATATTTCAGTTCTAAGGTTTTTATTTGTTGCCCTCTTGTGTTGGTCTCCTTTTCCCTAGCTCCTTTCTAGACTCCTCTCTTCACACCTGCTCCCAATCTGTTCATTATTCCTCTCTTTGTTCAGTTTACCATTAATACTCTCCTCGTGCAGTTCCTCAGTGCTGGTTCCTCGTCTTACCCTGGATTTTGTATTCCTGCCGCCTTCAACTGTTACCGTTAATTAAAACTGCAAGTACTCACCCCTGCCTCTCAGCCTCTGCGTTCAGGTCCTCAAAACCAAATCGTGACAAAAAGTCAGATTAGCATCTTTAGCAGATTGTTAATATCTTTCCATTATGTCACACAAAGCATCAGACATTTTGAGGTTTTGGTCTAATTCACATGTAGAGTGATGCCCCATGTGTAGCTTATACAGTATATGAGGCATAGAAAGTCTTGGGATCATCATCCGGGCTTTAATAACATTGCTTAAAAGGCTTAGTAATCGTAATAAGTGTACATTTCAACATCTGAAATCAAAATTCTCAAAAATAAATCAGGTTTGCTTTGATAGCAGCAAGTGTAAAACACAGACAATATAAACTGCCATGAAAATGGAGGACAGGAAACAACTTTGAATTGTGTCTTCTGACCAATATATGGTCCTCATTACAGATTTTATGTCTTCTTTGATAAAATGGCATATTTTTCTTAAACCATAATTTCATTTAGGACTGAAATGTATCATTTTTTTGGTTAATTTGATCACAAACATAAATCTATTTGAAGATGTTTTTAGCTGCTGTAATAATTGTTTTTCATATATCTTTGCTTTAACAGTGCAACTAAGGTGCTTAATTTCGAAGTGCATTATTCCTCAGTCATTCCTAATTAACTGTTGTTAGATGTCATTGAAATTTGCGAAAGTTTATGGAGGAGAATTTCTTTGAATTTGCTTCAATAAAACCAATCCAGTAACACTAGTTTGTGGTTTGTCAATGATCACATCATGAATCATTTCTTCCTTTTGCCTTTTCCCCCTTTGTTTCGTAGGTTGGCTTTTTCCCGTGGAACATCTTCAGAAAAGAAAGTCTTGTAACATCCTCCTGCATCATATCCTACATCAGGCATTATTTCATTTACCTTTTCCTCCTCTAGGTTTAGATTAAGTCCTTGTTTCAAAAATTTCTTCAGGTGACCCAGTGATCTGGATAGAATGTAACCTAAGTCCACGCATTTTGACCATCTCAGTGCCGATGTTCTGCATTGTGGCACTTTAAATTAACAGGGAGTTAGTAATAATGAATCTTTATAATTTTAAAATCTGATAAGGAGGTATGAAAGTTGAACCAAGGAAAAGGTTAGACACCTAATGAGAGCTGATAAAAGATAGCTTCTAATAATTTTCCTCTGAGTAAATTCCAGAGACATTAATAAGAAAAAGTTATTCCCACTTATTACTAAGCTGTATTAACATAGGAGGTGGATGAAAAGCCTACTGCTGTTCTGTTATCACTGTTTAAGTGTCTGTTAGACATAACATAGCATTTTTACCATTATAATCCCCTAATTGATTGCCTGATAGGGTTTTTTTTTTAAATCCAATTTTAATAAACCACCTTAGCTCTGTTACATTTGCAATAATCTGGACCCAAAGGCCTAAAATCTGCAAAACTCAAAAGGTGGTAATTTTCTTACAACAGGCAGCTTCATAAATTGTTTAAATGTTGACTTCAGACACCCTGCTATGCAGGACGAACACTTCTCTCTTACAGTCTCTGTATGATTGTCGGTCAGAGCAGGTGGTCTCTGTTAAATGAGACGCCAGGTTAGATTCACTCTCACTTCCCTGCAAGCAGCAGCACCAGATTATTATTATTATTATTCTCAATAACAAGCTAATTTAGTTTTGTAGCATTTAAAAACTCCACTACTTTCATCTTGTAGGCGAGGAAACCTTAGGTAAAAGGCGTTCAAGTAAATTGTTGGATGCTTAAATTGCTTTAGAATTATTTTCTTATTCATATCCTTTCATGTAGTCATTTTACTTGGTAGCAGTGGTATTAGTTAGTTAGTAACCCCCATTTAATGAAAGAAAAACCCACAATGGTCACAGAAATAAAGTGAATCTGTGATGATAAATAGAAATTCTACACAAATGATCAAATAAAAGTCAAATATTAGATTTCCACCATGCTTCAAATTGGTCTGGTACCTTAACTTAATATTTTGTTGCTCAACCTTTTGAATCAATCACTGCATCAAACAATTCCTTTAACTGTGAATCAGACTGCCACTCCTCTTAGCAGGTATTTTGTCCCACTCTTCATGAGCAAACTGATCCAATTGTCCCCGTTTGAAGGTTGCCAGGCGGGATGTTTAAGCTCCTTCCAAAGATACTCAGTAGGATTTATTTCAGGGTTTATAGAAGGCTAATTCAAAATAGTCCAATGTTTTCCTCTTAGTCACTCATGGCAATTTTTAGATTTGTGTTTTGGGTCATTATCCTGTTGAAGACTGATAACCTGTAACTGAGAGCAAGTTTTCTGCCTCTTGGCAGAACATTTCTCTTTAGAATCCCTTGTGTGTCATTTTACCCCGCAGAGATTCAAGACACCCTGTGCTAGATGAAGCAAAGAAGCCCAGATCATAACAGAGCCTCCACCATGTTTCACATTAGCGACAGTGTTCTTTTTATAATTTTTCCATCTATGAACATAGAGCTAATGTTCCTTGGCAAAAGGTTCCTTTTTTGTCTCATTTGTCCAAAGATCCTCCTCCCAGAAGCTTTGTGACTTGTCAATATGTAGTTAGGTAAATTCCATTCTGGCTTTTATATGATTTGTTTTCAACAATGGCGTCCTTCTTGGTCTGCTCCCATTAAATCCACTGGGGCTCAAACAGCGATGGATGGTGTGATCTGACATGGATGTTTCTTGAGCTTGAAGTTCACCTTTAATAATAATTAAATAATTAAATAAAATAATATTAATTGAACTTTATTAATGCCACACTGGAGAAATTTTCTCTGCATTTGACACGTCCCCTTGGGGAGCAGTGGGCTGCCACTCTGTGGTGCCCAGGGAGCAGTGTGGGGATAAGAATCTTGCTCAGGAACCCAGACTGCAAACCACGTACTTGGAACCTTCTCAGTACACAAGTGCACTGCTCTAACCAATAGGCCAACACCCCTACTCTTTAGAAGTTTTTCTTGGTTCTTTTTTTTACCACTCATATTGTTCTTCTCATTCTATTTGTCATCAATTTCCTTCTGCTACCACATCAGTGGATGTTGGCTACATTCCCGGGGATTTCAATTTTCTGCATTATATGTGCAGCTGTGATCACTGGAACATCAGCCTGTTCATAGATGGTCTTACAGCCTTTATCTTTAACATTCTTGTCTGTAATTTTCTTTCCAAACTCCTGAGACAACTATTTTCTTTGCTCCCTCTGGTCCATGTTGAGTGTGGTACACATCATGTCACCAAACAGTACAGTGACTACCTGTGTGTATATATATATATATA